AATAGCAAAATGGTTTTTAGGCATACTAATTTGGAACTAGACTGAACAAAAAACTATTAGTGAGTGAAAATAAAAATAATGGGACGGAATTTTGCCAACATAAGTTTTTCATTCTTTCTAGCAATATGATAAAAATGGAACTGCGGAGGTAAGAATCATTCCAAACCTTTTGTGTGGTTGTGAAGCCTGATATTTAAGCTGTTCCTAATCAAACAGTATAACACCTGCTGAATGCTGCAAGACAGATTGTACTTAGTAGAAAATAAGCAGTTATTTGAAGTATAGGTGTGAAAGGTATCATAAGAATTGAATAGGGACCATATGTGAAATGTGTGCTAAAATGTCAACATAGCAAAAACCATTCTAATCTGCTATTATAGGATCATGCATTTTAGTTGTTCAACAGAAGTAGGTCAAAATCCTTAGCAGATAAATGTCTAATCCAAGATAAACATTAATAAATCCAAAAATAAGATTAAGTCTTTACCTTAAATACCCAGCAAGCCAACTGAAGTGAAAACCTTTGTCATTTCATAGTGTGCCACTGGCGCAAATATTTGGACCACTCTTTTAAAATATAGAAAATAGGTGTTGTAGAAATGAATTATGTTATGAAGACAGCCATTGAAAGACAAGCAACAGGAAAACAAGTCTGGCACAACAGGTTTCACTAGACACCAGCCAGGATTGCTTTAGGTTTGTTCCAAAGTTATCTTCAGTCTCTGCAGAGTCACAATATGTGGTGACTGACTGTGCCTGTCACTGTTGTTAAGAGATGTACGCAGGCTCCCTTAGCCCCACAGATATGTCTGCCAATAACCTATCGGTCATGGTTATAATGTATGCAATAATAACACTTATGTTCTTTAGAGCATCCTTTGCCCTCCTGGTGGCTCCAGATATTTTGGATTACAACTCCCACCAGCCCCAGCCAGGAGTTGTTGAAGGTTGCTTTAAAGCATGGGTAAGCAATCTAAGGCCCGGGAGCCGAATCCGGCCCAATCACCTTCTACATCCGGCCCGTGAATGGTCCAGGAATCAGTGTGTTTTTACATGAGTAGAATGTGCCCTTTTATTTAAAATGCAGCTCTGGGTTATTTGTGGGGCATAGGAATTCATTCATTCCACCCGCCCCCCAATATAGTCCGGCTCCCCACAAGGTCTGAGGGACAGTGGACTGGCCCCCTGCTGAAAAAGTTTGCTGACCCCTGTTTTAAAGCATTGGTTGCTTCTTTTGAAACCTGGCCTTTTGCCTATATTGGACTACTACCTGCCCGTGGCTGCTTGTTTGCAGTCTCTGGATCTATGCCTGCCCTGGATTCATTCAGTCATCTCTAGTTGACTGACAGCCAGTATCCCAATGCAACACACACACACACACACACACACACACACACACACACACACACACACCGGGTTGCAACATTTGACCACTTGTGGTTATAACCACACTGGGAATAATAATAATAATAATAATAATAATAATAATAATAATACTGCCATAATAATACACCAAATGATAGTTTGGACTATTCCATTAGAGGCACAGCCACTTCTGCTGTGTTGTTAATGTGAAAAGATGAACAGGAGATACACTGGGCAGTTATATGGACTTTTGTGTATACATTCAGGCTAGATACCAACACCTCAACCAAGTGTCATTTTGTTGGAAACTCTTATAAAACATAAGACTGTTGTTTATATAGTTGTCCTGTTGTACTGCCTGGGATGAATTACTTTTTTGTATAACTGCAATCAGATTGAACCACTGATTCCAAAGAGATAATGGTAATTTCTGTACTTACCCAGCCATGAATTTATATTTTTCTGACCTCGTTTTGGGGCAATCTATATCCGGAGACCATTTTGCTGTTAGAGAGGAGCCAATGGAGAGGGTGTTGGTTTAATGTATCCATGCAGGTCGTACATAGCACCTCCCCTGTGTACACAGTTTACTTGGTTTTAATTATTTTTATCTTGGAAGGTTATGATCAGTCTATGATTTTGGGAAGTTGATTTAGACTCTAAACATTAGAGATTGCCTCTTCAGAGTAAATATTTTTACAGTATTATTCTCTCAGAAGAAAATAAACGCAAAGGTAATCCTGGAATTTTTCATTTTTTTTGTTCCCTTTTGTGAAAATGCAGATTGTAGGTTGCTTCAAATACAGGAACATAGGAATATACAAAGCCATCTTATACCAAATCAGGCCATTGGTCCAGACACTACTTTGCTACTACTTAGCAGCTCTCCAGGGTTTCAGGCAAGAACCCTTTCCCAGTCCTACCTGGAGATGGTGGGGCTTGAATGAACCTGAGACCTTTTGCCTACAGAGTAGATGCTCTACCACAGGGGTAGGCAACCTAAGGCCCATGGGCCACAAGTGGCCCACAGGGGTCATTTAACCGGCCCACGAACCACCCACGAACTGAGCTGCCTGCTCGGCGAGTCCCCGCGTGCTGCGCTAAACCGGTGCAGCGCAGCATGGTGCGGGGACTCACTTCCATGGTGCCGGAAATCGCACATGCACAGACGCTGGAAATTGCGGACGGGCGCAGTCACACACACACATGATCTGGCCCACGGAGGGATCTCTGCTGGAGTGAACCAGCCCAGGCAAGGTAAACCTTGCCGACCCCTGCTCTACCAGCCCTTCCCATGTTCCAGAACTGCTCTCTCTTTACCACAATACACACCTACAGAAACGTGATGCTGTATGATAATCTAAATTAATGATGTTCTTGTTGTTGGTTTAAAAAAAGTGAATAGTGGACTCTCCTTCATTAGAGGTTTTTGAACAGAGGTTGGATGGCCACCTGTCAGGGATTCTTTAGTTGTGGTTCCTGCATTGCTAGGGGGATTGGACTAGATGACGTTTTGAGCCCCTTCCAACTTTATGATTCTATGTTTATTGACCACTTTTGTAACTATACACAAATACTTTTTTCAAATAAGGATTCCTTTATAATCAATGAATCTATTTGAGTGCTTTTGATTTGCCTCTGAACAGAGTAATGTGTTTGTTTTTTCTTGTTTAGCCGTAAGATTCATGCTTGAAATCCTTAAACTCACTTGACCCACATGCTAAAATCCCAGCAGAGCTGACTCAGCTGTTCATCTTCCCCACATGGACGTCACTTTTATTGTGTGTGGAAATGTTTGTCAGATAAAAATCTAAAAAGAGAAGACCTACATGATCAGCAAGAAAATAAAATGCTTATATAAAATGTTTATATCCACGTGGCATGTTAAAATTTACTTTCTAGAAGGCTCAGTCTCCAATAGGACATTCCAACTGTGAGCTACGTGTGACAGAGCAGGAACAGGATAGGATAGCTTCTAGGCACTCTTGAGACCGTGGAGCACAGCGCTACACAGGTGGGGGAGATTAACATTAGAGGAGATATAGTCTTGCACTACCAGAATGCCCATGAAGCATTCCCAATGCCAAAGCCAAAAAGGGCAAGAGCAGGGGAAGAATAGAGCTTAAGAAAAATCATTGGCTTATTTAAAGCTTGTTTCCAAGCTCTGCAATGTGTAATATCACACTTGCAAAGGAGACAGTATTAAAACATTCCTGCTGGAGTCAAAGGACAGGCCAAGATGGCTTCCCTCTACCCACTTTCTGCCCTCACATCGTGCAACAGAGGACGGGATCTTGGATAACTCTGAAGCCAATAAACTCACAAAGCTGTGTAATTCAATAAGGTATACGGAAAGGGTCTACATCTGTCAGTCCACACATGTCCACAAACTTAGAGCACCTAAGCAGAAACCAGTTAAAGGGCATTTTGTACAAACGCGAAGACTTCCAACAAAGAGGGAAGGACAGATTATCAAGATTTGTCATGTCAATTGTGCATAGCATATTCCTGCACAATGATTGCTAATCATAACTATGTGACAGATATATAAGTATATAAATATTGAATGGCAATGCCCATCAACTTTGGCTGGGGAGCGACGGTGCCGATGGCAGGTGTGAGCAGGTGGGGGCAGCAACATGGTGGGAGGGGTGCCCTGGATTTAGGGGGGCCCCAATGTGAGTCATGTGCATGACTGTCACGCTCGGCCTCCTCTGCTCCTTCAAGAATGGGGGCTCGGCCCCATCCCAACAGAAATGGGGGGCTCATGGGAGGGGCTGAAGACACCTCAGCCCTATAGAGTTGGTGCCTATGACTGGAGTTTAGTCCCCTAAACCCAGGGCCAGATTTAGCTTTCATGAGGCCCTAAGCTACTGAAGGTAATGGGGCCCTTTATATGTCCAGCTGTCCTTTGTCAACAACAAATTGTCGCTGTTTTCTTGTGTTGAATATATACTATATGGTAATTTATGGACCTAACAGGTATCTAAAGACATTTGCACTTGCAGAATGTAGGCACCCTATACATATATAGAAACATGCAAACCAATGATATTTTAGGGAGCAGGCTAGCAGGCGGGGCCCATTACTAACATCATAGGAGCCTACACAACACAAAACACTGTTGCTGTATGTAGGTTTTATTTTATTTGTTTTTTATCTTATATTTTGGAAATGTACATCCAGGTTTTTTTGTCCTTTAAAAAATTTTGGGGGCCCCAAGAGACCGGGGCCCTAAGCTATAGTTTGTTTAGCTTATACATACATCCGGATTCCTCAGCCCTACAGAGTTGGCGCCTATGACTGGAGTTTCGTCCCTTAAACCCCAAGCACAGGGTATATTCGGAAAGGGTTATCGTGCAGTTCGGGTGATGCGTGCGAAATTCCTGTTGAACTCAGTAGGGCTTAACGACCGAGCAAGCATGGCAAAGCTTAGGCACAGATATTTAGCCACGCGGCTCGATCCTGTGGCATGTTTACTTGCAAGAAACCTCCACTGTGCTTTAAGGGGGCTTATTCCCTCCCGCGCCAGCGTGCCTTTGGACATGAGCCTTCCTCAGAGAGTCGCCTGGAACTGGTCGCCGTCGCCTCTCTGGGCTCTTGCTAACCCCTTTCCCCTCCCTCGCGCCGCTCAGCTTTCCAGGAGGAGCAAAAGAAAAGGGGGACTCCCCTGGCTGTGACGTGCGTTGCCATGGTGACGTCCGGACAGCGTCTCGCGGAGGGAGGGGGAGGGAATGAAGGGATGAAAACAAACATGGCGGAGAGGAGCAAGACGGCAGAAACGGGTCAGTTATTCTTCTAGCAGCAGTCCCGGGCGGCGTGGGGTTGAGGGGCGGGGGGAGAGGGAGGCGAAGGCAGGAAGAGCTGGCTGGAGTCTACGGAAGCGAGCGACGGGTGGTGGAAACAGCCCTCGTTTAGGCGGCAGGGAGGTGCGGCCTTGGCGGAGGGAACCACCGAGGGAACTTGGGGCCCCGCTGAGGCTTTGGCGGCGGACGACCTTGTGGGGGGACAGGAGGAGCTGTGTGAGGAAGCCCAGCCCAGAAGGCAAGGGAAGCGTCGCCCTGCTGGAATGCAGGGGTCGGAAGGAAGCCTGCTCATAAAGGGGATATCTGAGGGGTCAGACCCCACTTTGGTGAGGCAGAAAAGGAGGCCCCCGCTAGCCTAAGCACAAACACCCAGCTGAGGAGAACGGAGGTTTAGGGCGCAGGGAGGTTGAGGGCACATTTCACAAGGTATGAGGTAATGGTGGTGGGGAGTCGACGAGAGCCGGAAAACAGCCAGAAAAGCAATTCGGGGATCGGCTGGGATTGCAATCCTGTGCAGACGTACAGGGGAGCTGAGCAAACATGTTTAGGGTTGCTCCGTCCTTCAGAAATCGCAGCCCACTCTGGAGGAGTTTGATTATGTTGAACCCCAGAGGAAAGCGTTGCTGAAGGACTTGCTCCATACAGATGTGCATCGGATTGCAGTCGTTTTTAAAAGGGATCATGCTGACAGTTCAAATATGTAAGAGGAAGGAGGTACTGAGAGATTAAGGTTTGCCCTCTGAAGGTAACGTACTGATGTATAAATTTATGAAAATCCTACTGATGGGGATTAAGTTGCTTGCTATCAAGTAGGGTGTGAAGTTGCAAACTTTTATAGCGTCAGACTAGGGCATTTTGAATGAGAGAAAGACATCTTGCTCTGTTGGGTGCTGCATATAAATATGCAAAGAGGTGTGAAAATTAGTAAAAGCATGAGAGGGAGGAGAGCTGTTCACACAACTTTGTAAATCTCATATTTAGCATCAGATCTATTTTGCACCATCTTCACACTTTGGGAGCAGTGCCTAATCATACCTATGCTGCCATGAATAAAATACATTTTGACCCTCCTGAATTCTAGTTTTTCTCGAAGCCCCACGTATTTCACTAATTTAGTACAGTTTACATTTCTAGATGTATATTAGAATGTCAAACTGGCAGACACCACAATCCTTGACATGTCTATTTAGAAATACCGGTAAGTCCTGCTTTGTTCAAAGGTTAATGTCTGCAGGACTGCACCCTAAAGAGCTTTGTTCAGATCTTACATCACTGTACATAAAATGGATTTTCATTTTTTGTAAAAAAAAAAATCTGAAGCAAGGGAGGTGAGTTGGGCCCTTAAAAATGATATCGACATGTGCAGTAAATGTAGAGAGAGTCCCATATTTCAAGGGGATCTAATCTATTTTACCAAGATAACACTTCTTTTGTGGGGCTATTGCATTTTCCTTGCAAAAAATATTGTGTTTTGTGTGCTGGAATTATAGAGGTTTTCCCCCAATACCATGTAAATTGTGAAAGCTGTATATAGAATGCAGTTGTATGAGTGTCACTGGGACCTCTTTGACTGTGTCTAGGCCATTATTGTAGTGCAGTTTCCCCATTCATTGCTATTATGTGCTTTTAAATAATTTCCTTCTCATTCTACTGAGGTAAACATTGCCCTACAGTGCCAATTAAGCATAGCAGTGTTAACATGACACTTTGGCACTTTTTGTAGTTGCTATATATCAGGGCTATTCTCCTTCACATTTGGAGGAATGTCTTAGAATTTCATTAACTTGAAGTGGGGGTAGAACTTTAGTTATCTGCAGTTTCTTTGGATTTTTTTAAAAAAAATAAAGCGGAGAACACAGTCTACCTGCAGTGAGGTCATACTCCACCTCAGTTATACAGGGATGAGTTTCATGATGCTGTCTTTTAAAAGAGACTTGTGGGAGTATACTGCTTGAAGCCTGCTTTTGGTAGCAGCTCACTTTCTTTTATCATATGGAAGAAGATTGACATTTTGCTTGTGGAATCAAGACTTTCATTTATTTATCTGAAGCATTTTTAACCTGCTCTTCAGCCAAAAAAGGTTCCCAGAGAGACTTACAAAGATCAGTAATAAGACAGTCCCTGCACTCAGGCTTATCATCTTAATTACATGACACAAAAGGAAATGTGTCTGGAAGGGAGGAGGAAAAAAGCAAAGTCAAGCAGAAGGTTTTGTAAGGACCACTTGAAATGGAGATAATGTGAGGAGCGGGAAACATAGTTTCTGGTACCTCAGAGCAGAGCTAATGGAGTGAACCTTTTCATTTCTTTTGCATCATGGTGAAATGTCTGCTGCTAGATGACAATTGATAGAAATAGGAGCTGGCTTGTCAGCAGAGAAGATGGTGGTGTGCTTTCTCTCCTCTCCATCTCTGCTGCAGCCTTTATAGCAAGAATAGTGAATCTATGACTCTAGATGTGGTTGCACATCAACTCTCATCAGCACCAGCCAGCATAGCTAATGGTCAAGGGTGGTGGGAGTTGTAATCCAACAACATTGGGGAGCCATAGGTTCTCCATCATTTCAGGAAGATCTAAAGAAGATCTTCTTGGTTTGATACCTTGCTGGGGAAGTTACCTTCTTTGTGTATTACTACTCTCAGTGTCTGCTAGCTGTACTCTCCTGGACACCATGTCTCCTTATGTGAAATTGTACTTTGTTACCTTCCTTAGATTTTGTGTCCATGTGTTTTATAGTATCCATGCATCACACAGAAACACAGTACTAGCTGGTATCTGTATTGGAAATTGATTTTAAGTATATGTTGTTTTTATTTTAAACTAGATAGATAGATAAATAGACAGACAGACACACAATTGTTTTTAACTATTTATATATATGTATCTGTTTTAAATATTTAAATATTTATTATAGTGTAAATTTCTTTGAAATACCACATAGGAAGCATATAAGGAAATAAATAACAATAAAATGATAGCCAGAACTAGGATTTTGGAAACTACTAGTGTAAACAGCACAGTGTGCAGGGATTATAGACTGGTCAGAAGAAGGGACAAAGTCTGGATTGTTGCCTATAGGGACTGACATTCTTATTTATCCCTCTCTCACTCAAAACAAAAAAGGCCTCTTGTGAGGCCAGTAACAGTCTGGGGATCTAATTTTCACCAAGTAAGTAACTTTTTAAACCAGCTGATTTTTGTAGTTGCAATAGGGGTAGTAACAACCATAAGAAATGTGGATTTCAAAGTAACTGACATCTGTCCTCTTGTCTGGCTATCATTTGGGATACTTTCCAAACCTGTTGGAACTTTTCAAGCCACACATTTACCCTCCCTTATCTTAATGTTTCATTGTTCCTTTGAAGTGGTAAACTCTGCTGGCTAGATTGTTTTGTTGTATAAAAACAACAGCAAAGAGTCTTGTGGCACATTAAGGACTAACAAATTTATTAAGGCATAAACTTTTATGGGCTGAAGTACACTTCATCAGCTGCATCAAATGTTATCTTTAGTTGGTAGGTTCTGTCCACATGGGTGTAGAAAAAAGTAACAAAACTTGTACCACCATCTTCAAATGACATAATATAAATTATTGAATTTAGCTATTCAACAGTGGGATCCTAAACTGGAGGGAAAGGATTTTATACTACCTGAAGATTCTATTTTATTCTCAGAGGAACATTTTCTCCAATTTCTAGATAAAGCTACTGAATTCAGTTTTCTTTTGTGTATGTGTTGTTGCACGCCAGCCACCCCAATTGCTGAGTGGTGCAAGATTCCAGGGGTTCTCGGCCCTTACCCTAGGTTTGTGTTTCCTTTTGGAAATGAGGCACAGCAGAGACCATGGGTCTTTATGATACATGGTTTATTACACCCTAAGCCTGTGATGGAGGTGTTCACAGCATTAACACCCCAAATGGGTCTTATTTCTTCCTTAGTCACAGCGTGGCTCGCTCTCTGTGCTTGCTGCTTTGCTTCTGGCCCACATCACTGCAAACGCAGCTCTAAACTCTGCCTTTTGTCCTTCTCACTAACTTCAGGCTGGGGGAGCAGCCCCACGGAGCTCCATTTCTTTGTTTCCCTTGTTGGCCCATCCCCCAGGCAGTCACCTCATGAGGAAGCTAACCTGGTTTGTATTTTAACACTTGCTGGATCCAGGGGTTCAGGAAGCTAGCCTAACCTGATTAGCTTTTAACACTTGCTGGGTCCAAGGATTAGAGGGGCCTGGCACATAGGCATAGGATTTTTGTTAGGATTTTTTTTTAAAAAAAAAATCACGGGTAAAGATACCACCAAATCGGTGACATTAAGAGGGGCACGTTTGGGTTGGGAGGCTGGCTTCTGCTGGGGTGTGTGTGTAGAACCTCAGTTAACTGAGTACTTTCAATGCTTTTCAATAATTTTTGTGGCTCGGGGGAGGGGGAAGCTGCCCCGCTGCCCTCCCTTGGTTATGCCCATCATCTGGCACCCACAAACCCACATCAACCCCTTTGTATATTTACCTGCCAACTGAGAACAGCATTACATGCATCTGATAAAGTGGGCTCTGATCCACAAAAGTATATCCCGTAATATGTAGTCTTTAATGTGAACTAACAAAATTGTTGTTGTGGCTACACTAATGCAGTTAGCCTTCTGGAAGTAATGTTATAAAGGAATCTAAACTGGATAATGCTTTGTACCTACTGTTAACATATTAAGGTTGAGATCATATTCATTGTACATGAGAGTAAGTTAAATTGACCTCTGGGATTTACTTCTGCTTGTATTGTTATCATTTGCTGATCCTAAACAACATCTTAAATTAGCTTAGGGCAAATACTAAATTCCTCCTTCCCTTGAATCCCTTCTCTTGAAGATATGACTATGGAAAAGGGAAATGAACCTTCTTGCTGCTGGAAAGCAGACCTTTACAGATTACTCAAAGGGAATACAGTGGTACCTCGGGAACTTAATTCGTTCTGGAGGTCCGTTCTTAACCTGAAACTGTTCTTAACCTGAGGTACCACTTTAGCTAATGGGGCCTCCCACTGCTGCCGCACCACCACCGCGCAATTTCTGTTCTCATCCTGAAGCAAAGTTCTTAACCCAAGGTACTATTTCTGGGTTAGCGGAGTCTGTAACCTGAAGCATCTGTAACCTGAAGCGTCTGTAACCCGAGGTACCACTGTATGGTCCTTTACAGAAAAAAGATCTCCCACCCTTGAGTTAGATGTGGGATGATTCATAAGTCCTGCCCAGAGAAAATAACCTCTTCAACCATCTTTCCATTGGTGCTAGGTCTTTACCTCTGAGGCACAATCTGGAGGGATAGTGTTGGGTCAGACCCTGTAAAAAATATGAAGGGTTAACTTACTCAGAGGAACAGTTATGTACAACAACTGGCCCTTGAAACAGTTTCATTCATATTGCTAAAGAACACAGTGTTTCAAGCTCTGTTCCTGAATACCATGCAGACTTAAGCACTTCTCAGTGTTTTCAGTAAAGTACATTTTAGGATAATTTGCCCTGTCTTTTTGCTATTTTAAACCACTTTTCTTTTCCAAAGATTAAGGAAAAGACTGGCGATTGCAGACTTTGGCAAGAGTAATAGTTTAGCAATAGCAGTTCTTTCTGATTTAGTCCTATTAAAGTCTACTTTGCTGTACACTCTCTGCAGAAGGAAATGTTACATTCTTTGTCAGATTAGACTACTGTAGTTTGGATCTTTCTTTTACAGAAAAGTGTAGTGATGTTATAATAAGTATGAGCTAGATAAAATAAAACACAAATGACCAATTTCTCAAGTGATTTCATTAAAGAGGTGCTAGGTTTGTTGCAAAGAAACCATGCATTATATTTACCTAACTAACTTGGTTAAACAAAAACTAACAGATATCAAAGTCTTTCCAAATTCTAATTTGAAGAGGATATAAAAGTAATCAGTCTCAGAAGTATTGAAAGTAATTGTGCTACACTCTTGCTTTTACTGATGTTGAAAAATAATTTTTGGTAGAGCAATTGATGTTGGCATCTGTGCATCAGGTTTGGTATTTTGAGAGCAAGCAAGTAGGAAAATCACCACAGTTTTCTTAAAGGAAATACTGTGCTTTCCATAGATATGAACTCCCAGATAATTTGCCTGGGTTTAGGGATGCTTTCAGAATTGTCTTCATTTGGAGTTAGTTGTGCTAGCAAAGTGGAGCTAATGCATTAGAAATCCTGCTCTGTTTTGTTTGTTTCTATTTTATTTTTTATTTTTTTACAAACAACTGCTATGCATGCACTGTTTGCTGCAGCTTTCAGTTCCTTCATGTTTTATTACTGCTGTGCACACATGAATTGATAAAATATTGTGTGATTGTGTATATGATTAAACCAAGATTCTATTTGTATAGTGTTTTACCTATGCACATGTGCACAAGGAGCATTTGTGAAACATTAGAGGAATGAATTAGGTAATCCACTAATTTCTAACCAAAAGCGTATGTGTTCATTTTAAATTAAAAGTTGATTTCCCCACATAATTGAATATAAATGTAACTATATATTTACACGACAAAAGCAGTGTGTCAAATTAACCCAATATATGTTTTTCTGAAATCAACATTCCCAGTTAGGACTCTGAATCATTTGAGAATGTGAGTTCTTGATTACAAAGGGAGAAGAAAATAGTTAATGTAAGTAAGTAGAGGGCTGCATGCTGCAGCCATATGTTGGCTGACCAGCAGATGGAAAAAGAGGTCTCCCATGGCTGTACTTATTTGACCATGATTGGAATTTTAGCAATTTTATGCAGTGATATGGATGAACCCTATGTGTATTATTCCATGATCAGTTCATTTGGTTAGAACAAAATTCATAGGATTCCAGCATAGGGGTGCACAAATGCTTGGATCCATTCCCTATTACAGAACACTAGCCACCATTAACAGTCCACTGAAGTTACTGTGCATGGCAGCTGTGAATTTTAAAGCCCATTGTAGGAGCTCTGTTTTAATGTTTGTGTACCACCTTATCTAGTGCACAATTCACTGGTTGAATTTGCTGGCCATCTGATCTGGGAGATGGTGATCAGGTTACCACAGTGTCTTGCTGTGGAAAATGTTTATAATATATGATGAGACTGTCTCTTTAGGGAAAGCTCTGAACTTCATGCTCTGCAGTGCAACTGTGGGTCTATTCTAAATAATAATTAGCCTCACACATGTTGATGGGGTCCTATGCAAAAGACATTATCTAATAAGGCCTTGTTTCTAGACCACCTGTTATTGGGGGGTGTTGAGGCAAGGTAATTGCCATTGCCAGATCATTAGCTCCTGAAATCTCATTGCTACTGGGAAATGCTGTTTATCAGATACTATTATAGAATATACTTGGAAAACATCATAGCATATGAGTGAATATTATGTTTCATCACCTGTACAAACTATTAAAACTGCAAAGGAAGATAATCTCTGTGTTCTATTTTGGTATCAAGTTTACAATAATACCTAATTAACTTATTTTTATTCCAACAGGTAGTGACATAGGAATAGATGAAATTATCACAGGAAACTTAAACAAATTCACTGCTGTTCCACCAGGGTATTTTGGACAACCGAAAAAGGGACATCTCATATTTGATGCCTGCTTTGAGAGCGGTAAGTATAATGTTGTTTATAAAACAATAAGATGTTGCAGACATCTATGAACTTGCCAGCTTAGAACACAAAACGTTTATAAACAGTGATAACCAAGAATTGCATACTTGGTGAATTGATTTCAATTAGTCTATTGTTTTGGATGTTGCCAATGTATACATCATGTGTTGAATGTTGCTTCAACATGCATAGACAGACTTGTACTACTGTGGACATAATCTAGAGATATGGAACACTGATTAATTATTCTGGCCACTGTCATCATCATTTCATTTCTGTTATACTTTTCTCTATATGTTACTCTTAGACCATGACAAAACTTCAAGAGAATAAATACATCAGCAATGCATTGCTATCCTTCATACCTCCATGTATATACAATTTAAAACAGTTTCATAATCAGAAATAATACAATAACCTCAAAATAATTCTTTCATAATTCATTACTAACAGGAAGAAAGTGAGATGCCATGTCACCCAGCAGGTTGTAGCAGCAGAGTAAATCTTTTTAAAGACCCACAGAAAAGGATGGGTCAATCCTTAGTCCTAGATGTTTGCAAGAACAAGATAAAATTGGTTTTGTCTAGAATGGTTTTATCCAGTCTTTTCTATATAAATATTCACAGGACAAGGAACATTGTTCATGCTTTGTAAACAGAAAGTCCTAGGTTCAGTCCTTTATATTGTTGGTTTAAAAAATCAGAGGTGAACTCTCTTTCCAGTTGCAGTATTCATTAGTGGTCTAGAATGACAAGTATAGTATAGGACAGATTTCTATGTCCACAGGGAGTAGTGTAGTTGACTGTTCTTCAGCTCTCTAGGTGTTATTTTGCAAGGTGTTTTCCATTTTGACTTCAGTTGACATCTTTGTGAGATATATGACTAAAATGTTTTGCAACTCTGAACACTTATTAGTGTTTTACTTGTGAGGTAGAGGTTTCATGAAATTATTTTTCTGACATTTAGTTTATTTCTTCCAGAAAACTCTTGCAGCTTCTAAAGTGGAATGTTGTCTCTTTGCCCTATTTGAACATAATGGATTGGGGGTCATAAATAAGTATTGGTTAGGTCATAAGTTTTAGTTTTGATACTTCTGCTCAGAACAGAGTGCTTTCAAAATACTCCGTAATGATGTTGAAAATAGTTGGCCTTTGTAAAGGTTCATTTTTTTCCAGCTTGTTAACTTTAAAATGGTAAGTAACCTTCAATCATCTTCTAACTTGTATTTATCCATTTTATCTATATAATAGTAAAGTGATAAACAATGTTGCACGTTTAAACTAGTTAATATAGCTAGGTGCTGTTATAATCTCTAGAATATGACCTATCTTTTGTTGGGCAGTACCCATGACAAAGTTAGCTAGCTATATTTTTGTTTTGAAAGCAATTATAATAGAAGCAAAGAATCTGAGGGACCAACAACAGCAACTAAATGTTCAAAGTGCACCCTTTCCTCACCCATTGTGGGCAACAAAAATGTTATCCACTCCCCTTTTTGTACTTGCTCTAGATATCATTTGGTTCCTATCCTTTTTGAGAAGTAGCATTCTGTTACATGTGTTTGCATGCAATTTTTAGTCAGTATTAGAACTGTGGATTCTAGAATTGTGGGGTGTCTCTTGTTCATAGCCTTGAACTCAATAGGTGTCTCTAGACAATCTCAAGCACAGCCTACCCACCCAGCATATGCAGAATTCTTGCAGCTGTTTGACGAGCATTTATATAAATTACCCTGAGCACTCAGAAATACTGTATAAACATCAAATGTTGTTTGAAATTTTAATGCAGGCACTACCCTCCATATCTTAGTGGGCAACACTTGAAAAATAGTTTTGGACAAAATTGGTTATTTAGGTTTGAATAACTGCATAGACTTTTCTATGCATATATTCACACATACACACATGAAAAACAAGCTTATTGTGGGTAGCATCACATCATTTTGACTGAGTGTGTCCTAACAATAATCATTTTTAGCTTAAAATGTTACATCAATGCCGTTAATAGATATCCTTATAGTAGTATGTTGAAGATATTGTTATGATGGTTCACAAATATTGCAACCGCTACTCAAGGAAATTGTTTTATAACTATTTTTTTGTAGCAACTCATCCTGTTTCCAGATGCCTGATGTTTTATTATTTCAGTGTAAGATAGAACTTACACTGTTATTATATAATCTCACTTTGTGTGTATCACAGAATCATAGAATTGTAGAGTTGGAAGCAATCCTGAGGGCCATCTAGTCCAACCTCCTGCAATGCAGGAATCTTAACTAAAGTATCCATGGCAGATGGACATCCGACCATCTGCTTAAAAACCTTCAATGAAGGAGATTCTACCATCTTCTGTGGGTGTCCATTCCACAGTCAAACAGCAGGATAGGATGTGGAGGATATAGATCTAAACTAGGTATTTGTCATAGCCTGTTTCAATAAAATTTGAGACCAATGAAATTTAAAGGAGATTCCAACTAAACATTAGGAAAAACTTTCTGACAGTAAGAGCTGTTCAAGAGTGGAATGGGCTACCTCAGAAGGTGACCTAAGCTGGAAGCCACAGATACAGTATTTACTAAACAAAGGGAAAACAATACTTTATACTCTACTCCAATTTTTTGCGGCCGACGGAGCCTCCCACATCCCTTCTGCATTGAAGGTGTACCATGCAAAAGTGGTTTCCACCCTCTGTTATGCTGCCCAGCTCTGGGCCCCAGGGTCCAAGTTACCATCGTTGGGGACATTGCAGAATCAGTTTCTCCATCGCCTCCTGAAACTCCCCATGTGTGTGAGCAACGCAGCCATACGTCTGGAGTTAAGGATTGCATCATTGGAGACGGTCATCTGGAGGCGCGTCTTTGGTTCTTGGCTGTCCAGCTGGCACAGGCTTCCCAACCATTACCTTTTTCAGTGCCTCTGGCGGGACGACTTTGTCAATCCATGGGTAGGAAAAATCCATGTCAAACTTCTGAGCATCGGAATTTCCCCAGCGGACTCCTTAAAGATGAACTTACGCTCAGCCAAAAGACTTATTGAGCAGAGATTAGCAGACATTGAAAATCAACACAACCTCGCCGGGGGTGAGGGTGTCTGCTCCCCAGGTATCACGGAATAACCTCACCACTTGGCCTTCCATCATACATGTCATCTCTTTCATCTGTACCGCACCGACATGCATTTATTCGTGCAAGGTTCAATGTCTTTCCATCGAACCTGCTGAGCCACAGATTTTCCAAGGGTTTGGTGTCTCCGCTATGCGTGTGTGACGGGAAAACTGTTGATTCTCTCTCACATATAATGTTCAACTGTCCCCTACATAGCATAGCCAGGACTAAATTCCTGGGCCCTGCTTTACTACGCTTGGTTGGCAGGCCTGCTGAGTCACATGCCGCACTACTTTTGCAGGATACAGATCCTTCTGTAACTCTGCAGGTGGCGAGATTCCTGAATGCAGTTATCTCACACACAAAACCACCAAAAACAACAACATCAAAAACTAATCGGACAGTTTGAAGAGAGTGCATGTCGGATCCCGTCTTCAGTTCTCCTTTTCTGGGATCCGTCCCTTGGAGCTCTCCGGGCCCCACCCCTGCATCATGGTGTTCACCTTCTGGTGCCGAATATATTAGTCTTTATGCCTCTGTGCTTTTATGTTTGTACATACTTTATGGGCTAATAGCCGTAAATAAATAAATAAATAAATAAAATTTCCTCAGAAGGTGGTGGACACTCCTGTGTTGGAGGTTTCAAAACAGAGTTTGGATGGTCATTTGCCAGAGATCTTTATCTTTGATTCCTGCATTTCAGGGGGTTGGATTATATGACCTTTGGGGTTCCTAAGTAATTCTCTAAGTGAAAACTGTGGCTCATGTAAGCACCATGAAGAAACACACGTTTTGCATCACGAAATCCATAACACACTTCACTTGAAAATACATACAATCACAGAAATAAATGTGCATGTGCAGTTATTGTTATTTTATTTGGATAATTTATATTCTACTTATAGTTAAACTCTTAAGTGGTTTGCATGTATATTGATGGTGAATATTCCAATAAATATAGCAGTGTTTATTTTGAATTGTTCATGTTCATTTGGACTGTGTAATATATTTGTGCCTATGTATAGCATAATAGATACAGTGGAAGCTAATTAAAAAACTGGAAATGGGGAAGGAAATGTAAAGATTGGTTGTGACTCAGTCTTCATTTAATTTTAGTAACTACCTGAAAGATGATAATATGCTATTAAAATCACTGCTCATAAGTATTTTATGAGACATATTCTGGCAACACTTGTGTAGGAATAAAAAGGGGGAAGAATAATGCTTTTATTTTAAAATTCCTAGATAATGAAAACATTTGTTCAGGAAATGATTTTTGAAAAAATTGAATACTTTATAACCTTTTTGATATGTTAAACCATTTTCTGTTCTCTTGAAATTGCTATTTGTATCACCACAATCAGACCAGAGCACTGAATTTATTTACTCATTTATATTTTTTTATAATAAAAGCATTGGACCTTTCCCTCCCCCTAACCGTCCCCATAGGGACATTTGAAGGGCTATCTTTCCATGAGAGCAGGGGCAGGGGAGAAGAAGCAATGTGACAGCTTTTTCTTAACATGCAAGAATTATGCATGCTATGGTTATGTTCTGCTTGGACTACTGCAATGCACTCTGTGGGGCTTTCTTTGAGGGTGACTCAGAAACTACAACTAATACAGAATGAGACTGCCAGACTGGTGACTGGGAGTGGCCTCCAGGACCATAAAACACGGGTCCTAAAAGATCTTCATTGGCTCCCAATACGTTTCAGAGCACAGTTCAGTGTTCATGCTGACCTTTAAAGCCCTAACAGGTAATACCCGTCCCACATAATTGATCGCATGATGTGGCACATGCGCATCATTCAAATGGCAGTGCCCATGAACTGGGGGGTGGGGGTGGCCCCCTCAAATATATTATTGTGAGGGCTGAAGGGACCTTGTCCCCTAGGAGTTGGCTGCTGTGCCTGAAGTAGAGCTTCACTCCCATTGTCAAGTCTGCACATAGAGATCTAGCTCTAAGGACCTTCTGGTGGTTCCCTCACTGTGGGAATTGGAGTTACAGGGAACCAGGCAGAGGGCCTTCTTGGTAGTGGCGCCAACCCTGTGGAACGCTGTCCCATCAGTTGTCAAACAGATTAAAAAAAACTTCACAACTTTCTGAAGACATCTGAAGGCAGCCTTTTATCAGGAAATTTTAAATGTTTGATGTTTCACTGTGTTTTTATATTATGTTGGAAACTGTTCAGAGTGTTGGGGCAACCCAGACAGATGGGTGGGGAATAAGCAATAAAATAATAATAATAATAATAATAATAATAATTCAATTGTGGGTGATTCTTTTTTTAAAATGATGCTGGTTGTTGTAATAATTTTATGTAAACCATTTTGTGATGTCTACCTGAAAAGTGCAATAGGAATTCTTCAAGTAATGAATAATAGAAAAGCATACAAAACCATTAAAAGGCTGTACATAACAATCATTAAAATGTCTAGCTACTAAGTAAATTTTAAAAAGCCACTTAGACCTATCAACATAAAAAGTTTTTAAGAGATGTTCAAAAGTCAAAAGTGAGTAATTGGGACCCATTGCATGACTTAGCTGTCTGCAGTCTACAGATACATTTTGGGCAGGTTTCATGAAATAAACAATGGTCCATATTTTCTATTTCTTTAAATTATATTGGTTAGAGAACCTATTTAGGAAGATTTGTTGCTGCAAAATCAGCAATTTTACTCTATTTCAAGATGAACATGCTCTGTAATGAGACTCAGAGGGAAATAATTTATTAACATCTTTCCTGATAAGCTCAAAATTCATTTGAATACAAAATGTTACCTTTGAAGCATAATATTCCACTGGTTAAGCACATAAAATTCCTCTGATTAGGCACATAACTCTTCACGTTTGCCTTTATTGATTCTGTTCAGTGGTCTAATTGCATTCTAGGTTTAGCCTTTACCATGCTAATTTTGATTTAGGGTTTGTATTTCTTAAAAACAAACTGGGTGCACACCATCTATTATAGCTGCATGGTCTTGCTAAAGCTAGTGGGAACTTTGGGATCAACTATAATGACACAAAGTGGAGGTAAATTACTACAATATATAAAGGTTTTTTTTTATATGGTAGCATTTTGCAACAGATTAATAGTCTGAATTGCACCTAGGAAGAATTATTTGTTTTCTGTGGTGTCTGGTGTAATTGGACTTTTGACATCACAAACACTGTGTATTTTAAAGAATTGTTTTTAGTGTGAATGTATTTACTTGGTAGTCAATCCACCATTCCTGCTCCCTGGAAGTACAGTTGGAAGCTTGTTCATGTTGAAGGTATTTTGTGTCCAAATTAAACATTATTATCACGCTTGTTCATAGACCAAAAGGTAATTTGTGTCATGTCCATTTCATTGTTGTGGTTTCATCTGCTATTGCACCATCAAGAACATTCTTTTTCTCTTCTTCAGTGCAAGTGTCATTCCATACTCTCCAACATTTCTCCGATGAAAATAGGGACATCCTATTGACCTGGAAGCTGTACGCCGGCTCCCTCGGCCAGTAAAGCGAGATGAGCACCGCAACCCCAGAGTTGGCCACGACTGGACCTAATGGTCAGGGGTCCCTTTACCTTTATTCAATAATGATGATGGTGATGACAATATTTATACCCTGCCCTTCTGACGGGGTTGCCCTAGCCACTCTGGGTGGCTTTCAACGCATATAAAAACATAATAAAACATTAAACATACCTCAGGTATCTTCTAAAAGTTGTATAGTTCCTTATCTCCATAACCTCCAACATTTCTCTGATGAAAAAGGGATGTCCTAACATACCCACCAATATTTCTCCACTGAAAATAGGGACATCCTAAAGAAAAGCATGACATTCTGGGATCAAATCAGAAATCAGGATACCTTCCAGAAATCTGGGATTCCAGAAAATGGGAGGATCTGCCATTCATGGGACTCAAGCAAAGCCATTCTTCGCATTAGTAACTGAGTCTTGTTATTTTTTTATCAGCAGCTGCTAAGCCTCTTTGCTGTTTCTCTGTAATTTCTCAGCAAATATGTTTGAAGTGTACAATCCATTTCCCATTTCCCATCACAGGTACTTATTCTTACAGCTTTTTAGTATAAAGGTGTTTCAGTGCTCAGATTCACAATATGAGTCTGGGATTTTCTTGCAACTTGACAATTAAAAATACTGCAGGAAGTGACCACACATCGATTCCTGTATGATTCAATGCACAAAAGGGGTCTTGGGAGTGGGGGCGATGTGTGTTTGTGTGTGTGGCTTTGTGTTTGCAAGTATACAGGAAGTGCGGTAATTTTCTGCACCATTTAAAAATGCATTTTTACTTAATGTTGTGGAGGTACCATACTTTGAAGCTGTATGGTATTTACTTTGTTAAAGCAAGATAGCAGTACGGTACTTAGTTCACCGTATAAGTACTACGTGTAGTCAAACTAGCTTTCTTGATAGCTCTGCAGAATAAACCACAAATCTAGGTTTTTTCCTGAGGTCTGGTTCAATGGGACAGATGAGGGTGCACTTCAGCAAATTGTGAACTGGACTGAAATCCGCTAACATTTCTACATGTGAGTGTTTAAATCATTAATATGTATTTATGGATGACACAACTAAACAAACATATAGACACTTTGCAGTTAATAATAATAATAATAATAATAGTAATAATTTATACCCTGCCCATCTGGCTCCAAGTGTCCCTATACAGTGGTACCTCGCAAGACGAATGCCTCGCAAGACGGAAAACTCGCGAAACGAAAGGGTTTTTGGTTTTTTGAGTTGCTTCGCAAGACGATTTTCCCTATGGGCTTGCTTCGCAAGACGGAAACGTCTTGCAAGTTTGTTTCCTTTTTCTTAAAACCGTTAATACAGTTGCGACTTGACTTCGAGGAGCAACTCATAGCACACAGTGTGGTAGCCTTTTTTGAGGTTTTTGAAGACTTTGGTGATTTTTGAAGCTTTTCCAAAACTTTTCCGACACCGTGCTTCGCAAGACGAAAAAACCGCAAGACGAAAAAACTCGCAGAACGAATTAATTTCGTCTTGCGAGGCACCACTGTATACCTGGGACATCCTTGATTTAGAGAAGCCATTCTGGTTTCTGATTTGATCCCAAAAAGTCCCGCTTTTCCTTAGGACGTACCTATTTTCACCAGAGAAATATTGGAGGGTATGGAGTTATTCAACTCCCAAGCTGTCTGAAAGCAATATTGTATAGGGAAATTTTAAAAAAAATGTTTTATGTTTTATTATGTTATTATATATGTTGGAAGTTGCCCAGAGTGGCTGGGGCAACCCAGTAAGATGTGTGGGGAATAAATAAAAATTATCATTATGGAATGGGCTGTCCCTATTTTCATCAGATAAATGTTGGAGGGTATGATAAGTAGGCCCCAGAAGCTGCTGCACAGTGATAGAATTCTCTGTCTTTTAAAATTCTACAAAGTTCTACCTTTGGCAAGTTTTGAAAGTGTTTTAAATTCAAAGTTGGTATTTAGGATTTCTGTTTAGCAAGATTTTGAAGCTAACATTGTAGCTGTTAAAAGACTGTTTAATTATCATTTTAAATTGGATTTTATATTTGTTTTATTATATTATTAGGCATCACAAGACTTTGGGGCAGGCTTTGCAGTAAATATGAACAGATTATTTTACCACTGTTGTTGTTGTTATTGTTATTGTGCCCCACCTTTTCCCTTGACAGGCTGCTTCCTTGAAGTTTTTTTGAAATGTGTAATAATTTCCTGAAGATAGAAATCAAGTTAAATGTAAACCCCTGTCTCCATGCTGTTGTTGTTAAAATATAGGCACTCTGTTTTTCTCTTTGCTATCCTTACATAATCTTGCCAGTCTTTCAGTATTTTCAGATATAATTCCTGTGTGCTCAGAATTGTTTGCATTTTTTCTTTGAGCAAATGTGGGTGCTTTAATCTTATCCTACCATGCTATCCCCTCTTTTCCTGTCATACGTTTGGGATCAGCTGATGATAACAATGTTTTTCCTTCAAATACTAATGTATGGGATATATTGTGTTTCATTTTCTTTGTAAGAGCTTGTGTTCTCTGTTGATTATGTTACTAGCTGCTACGCCAGTTCCCTACATGAGGTTGGTCAGCTCAGGTAACCTCATAACATAAATCTACAGTTCTCAGAATGATATAAACCTCATATGATATAAATCCATGGTCAAGACAGCCAAAACTGCTGCTGACATCAGCAAGGAACTCCATCAAGGACTTCAAGACTCCTCTACCAGTTGCTATCAAGTCAGCTGTCTGTGCAAAGAAATATATGGCAGCTCCCAACATTGCTACCTGCTCTTTTCCTAATTCTGAAATCACCCAAACTCAAGCACTTTATGCATAGTTTTCTTAAAGTTAAATAATTAAATGGGGGTGGGATGGGGGCTTGCCATGTAGCAATATGCCCTCATAGCTCTGTATCCTGGCCCAACTGCACTGGTAGTAATTACTGGTAGTAACTACTGGTAGTTTCCGGGCCCAATTCAAAGTGCTCATGTTGACCTATAAAGTCTTACATGGCTCAGGACTTCAATACATTAAGGACCACCTCTCTCCATACAAAACGACCTGGACCCTGCACACAAGTTTGAGGCCCTTCTCAATGTTCCTCCTCCCCAAGAGGTTTGGAGGGTGGCAACACAATAAGGGGCCTTTTTGGTGGAGGCTCCCCATCTATGGAATGCTTGCTGGTGCCATCATTACATGTTTTTAGAAGACAGACAAAAATGTTCCTGTTTACCCAGGCCTTTGACCATTAAATAATCTATGGCCTGGTAAAGCTGGGGAGTGGGGGCAGAGACTGTTATGCCATTTATTTTTATGATTTTTAATGTGTTTTTATTATTGTGTTCCATAAAATGTGTTGCACACCACCCTGAGATCACTTAATAAAGGGGCAGTATATAAATAAAATTAAGGACCTTTCAAGGATAAATCAGCTGATATCAAATCTCTTATAAAACCAAGACATGAATATTAAAGAAATGCAAGGCTCCAAAACTAAGCTTGAATTTTGAATTGTAGCTGTCAGGCACTAAAGAATCTGCAGAAGACAGATTCAGGATTCAATATGACCTTAACAGATTGGAGAACTGGGCCCAAACTAACAAAATGAATTTCAATAAGGAGAAATGTAGGGTTCTGTACTAAGGCAGGAGTAATCAGCTGCACAAATATAAAATGGGGGGCACCTAAGCTTACTAGTAGCACATGTGATAGCACAGGATCTATGGGTCTTAGCAGACCACAAGTTTAACATAAGTCAACAGTGTGATGCAGCAGGAAAAAAAGCTAATGATATTCTAGACTGCATCAATAAAAGTATAGTGTCCAAATCGAGGGAAGTAATAAAAGGTAAAGGGACCCCTGACCATTACGTCCAGTCATGGACGACTCTGGGGTTGCAGCGCTCATCTCGCTTTATTGGCCGAGGGAGCCGGCGTACAGCTTCCGGGTCATGTGGCCAGCATAACTAAGCTGCTTCTGGCGAACCAGAGCAGCGCACGGAAATGCCGTTTACCTTCCCACCGGAGCAGTACCTTTTTATCTACTTGCACTTTGATGTGCTTCCGAACTGCTAGGTTGGCAGGAGCAGGAACCAAGCAATGGGATCTCACCCCGTTATGGGGATTCGAATCACGACCTTCTGATCAGCAAGCCCTAGGTACTGTGGTTTAACCCACAGTGCCACCCACGTCCCTAAGGGAAGTAATAGTCCTGCTCTATTCTGCCTTAGTCAGACCACACTTGGAATACTGTGTCCAGTTCTGAGCACCACAGTTTAAGAAGGATATTGACTGTCTGGAACATGTGCAGAGGACGGCAACCAAGATGATCAAGGGTATGGAAACCAACTGAAGGAGCTGGGTATGTTTAGACTGGAAAAGAGGAGACTGACAGGAGATACGATAGCCATCTTCAAATATCTTAAGGGCTGCCACATGGAAGATGAAGCAAGCTTGTTTTCTCCTGCTCTGGAGGATAGGACTCGAAACAGTGGATTCAAGTTACAGGAAAGGAGATTCCCACTAAAAATCAGGAAGAACTTTCTGACAGTAAGAGCTGTTGGATAGTGGAACAGACTCCCTCAGAAGCTTGTGGACTCTCCTTCCTTGGAGGTTTTTAAGCAGATCCAACCTCTGCTTAAAAACCTCCAGTGGTTCTCGGCTCAAGTGATGGGGCTAGGCAAGGAGACACAGACATTCTTGTGGGTGGACTGGGTCTACTTGCATCCTTGCATATTTCTGATGGGGATCATCCCATCTTGCAAGCTGAAATGCTTGCACTGACAGATCAATTGCCATTGCACTACATTAAACTTCTCCCAATGGGTTCTGCTTCCAACTAAATACGGCTATGGGATGTTTTATAAGTATTAATGTGAGCTTTACATGTATTTTATCACTTATTGCTATCATATGCTTTGTTTCATGGTCAGTGCAATTAAATAAAAATAAAGTGTAAATTAATTTTGACTTTGCTTTGCTGAAGTTCATAGTACTACTTTCATAGCCTTTTGCCTTACTGTGTTGTCCTTGGTGCTGAAATTGCTTTTGCATCTAAACAGCAAATTGTATTTATAGGGCTATAGAATGTGAGATAAATCTAGCTGGTCAAAGAGATTGGAAAGGAAGGTGGAGGTTACATAATTTTTTAAAAATTGATTATGACTACTAGGCTTCGATTCCAAGCCTTGTGTATTTTTGGACTGTTTGCAGATCTGTATATAAAGCTACTTCTGTTTTGACATATGACCTTGCTTGTATAGATTGTGGATCAGATTTTTTTTCTCATTTAGTGCAACAGCAACTAATTATGAGAATGACAATGTGTCTTTCATTATTTTAAAGCAGTCACTGAATTACACACACAAAAAAGGTTTAAATTAAAGTGAACTTTACTAAGGCAATTTTGCTGTGAAAGTGATACATTCAATGTGGAAGTGAGACAGAATTTCTCTTTTCTCCTTTCATGATATGAACACAGTTTTCTAAGACTGGCATTTCTTTCTTTCTTTTCTTTTCTGTTTTTTAACCTTTCATGCTAATGTGGACTGGATGGTAGACCAATGATTTTTTTTCCTATGGAACTGTTTTGACATTCTTAGTATTTTTGTAAATATCAAAGAAAGGACAAAAACTGCAATTTTATTGCATTAATATTAATAATAATTTATCTGCCAGGAAAACATTTAAATATCACTTGACATTTACAGAGAAAGATTAATGTTTAATTTGCCACAAACCCTGAAATACATTGAAATAAAAGAAACTGCTTCTGTATTTGGTAAAAGGAAATAACAGAAAAAAGCTAGTCACTTGAAAATAGTCTAATCATAAGGGAGGACCAAAATATATTTCAAAATGTCAGTATTTTAAAAGTATATGGGTGGAATGGAGGGAAAGAGGATCTCACTAATGTGATAAGCATTTAGAAATAATGAAAAATATCACATAAGAAGAGCAAAGGGGATACAACTAAGGAAATAAATTGTAAATATCATCTATTATGTAAAGAAACCAGCCAAATGTGACTATTCCAATGCCATATGATATTTTAAACTACAATGCAATATATCAAGCATCCAAACAAATTTAGCAACACCAGCAAGAAAATATTCCATTATAAATTCCTGGAACAGAGACTAGGGTGCGGATAAAAAGAAGGGTCCCTTATGCATCTGTTATTTAGTCTGTGCTACTACACTCCACCCCTAGGTCACCTCATCAAATCCCATGGCTCTCTGTACCACCTGATACTTGGTATGCCCAGAACTTTAGTCTAATCCAGTTCAGTATCTCTAGCTGCCTATTGGATAATTTTCCTTAGATATTTCATCACTTTGTCAAGTTCACTATGTTCAGCAATGAAATACTTATCTTTTCTCCCAAGCCTCCCTTCTCTTTATACTCTGTGTATCAATTAATATCATGACCCACTCTGCTAAACATGCACAAAGCCTTGGCTTTGCCCACAGTTCCTTTCTCTTCTTTGTTCGTTATATTCATATAGTCATGTCACATCTTCCTTTTCAACACTGCAAAAATACAGCCTCATGCACATGTCATCTTTCACATTGACTAGTGTCCTTCTGCTTTCTTCAGAGGAAGCTTGTCAGATGGTTAATGGGTGCCCCCATGTCCTGTGCACACCCAGCCAAGGAAGGCAAATGGCAGATAGTTAATTCTTTCTTGACAAAAACATACACACCTATACAGCAGCTTCTAAGGTCTACCACATGCAAGCACAATTTTAACTTCTATGTAGCTGTTTTCCGGGACACAGGTGGCACTGTGGGTTAAACTACAGAGCCTAGGACTTGCCAATCAGAAGGTTGGCGGTTCAAATCCCCATAACGGGGTGAGCTCCCGTTGCTCGGTCCCTGCTCCTGCCAACCTAGCAGTTCAAAAGCACATCAAAGTGCAAGTAGATAAATAGGTACCGCTCCGGCAGGAAGGTAAACGGCATTTCCGTGCGCTGCTCTGGTTCGCCAGAAGCAGCTTAGTCATGCTGGCCACATGACCCGGAAGCTGTACGCCGGCTCCCTTGGCCAATAAAGCGAGATGAGCGCCGCAACCCCAGAGTCGGTCACGACTGGACCTAATGGTCAGGGGTCCCTTTACCTTTTAGCTGTTTTCCAGGTTTGTGTCTGCTAAAGCAGTTTTAAAAGCAACAGTGGGTCCCTGCCCCAGGCTTCTGTACCCTTGTCTGATGGAGTGCACACATGCAACCTGAGACTTCTGCACAGAAATCATTGTTGTGCCTCCCTCTTCAAGCCCCTCCTGGTTCTAAGAAATAACTGTCACGATCCATTCCAGATAAGGAAGACACACGTCTGATAGTTAACTCTTTATTAGCAAGAGAAACACTGCAGCTTCCATGGTGCTCTGGATACACACACTCACACGCTTCTAGCCTGAATGCAGCTGTCCACAGGTCTGGGCCCTATGAAGCAGTTGCAGCAACAGTGTGGCACCACCTCCCCTCCTCTGGCTTATATACCCTTCTCTGACAGGTTGCGTGTCCACAACCTGAGACTTATCCTGCATTGAAGTCATCCATCCTCTTCCCTTTTCCAGTCCTTCCTGTTTCTAGGAGACAGTGGGGTGAGCGAAAATCTACTGACCCTCGCCTGAACCATCCCTTCTTCCTCTGCCACATTCTATGTGTCTTCCTCTGCCTCAGACTGCCCTGATTCTCTCTCCTTCCCCAGGCTCTTGTCTTGTGGGTTGTGTGACACTCCATAAATCACTGGTCCCTTCTCCTGGGTCACTCCCCTGGTTGCCTGCCTCCACCACACTCTCTTTAGAACCCTGCCAGTCCCTGACAACAGTGGGGCCAGATACAGTTGAGATTTGACTGGCCTGCCCCCCACCTGGACAGCCTCTTCCTCTGCTTCCAACCCACCCTGTGCCCCTAGCTCCATCTTTGACTGCTTGACCTTTCCCCTCCCCTGTCCCCTTCCCCAAGGGCATGAAATGGGAAAGGAATGGTGGGAGGCCTGTTGAATGTCAGGGATGAGGGGATAGTCCTACTCCTGCTTTGATGGTTGGGGTGAATGAGCAGTAGAGCTAAATCAGGGACCAAAAAGACGAATGAACTGGCAGCTGCTTTGCTTTCCTTGGTTGCTGCAGCCACCATTCTGTGGATCCATCCTTTCACATGTTTAAGGATCTGTAAGGATCATGGGCAGTGGGAACAGGGCTCCAGGAGGCAGTTGATGGTTTGGAGAGATGGCAGAGAGAATGGGCTACCCCATTTGTATAAAAGTCAGGGAACCACATTCTTTTTTAAAAGTACCTCATTTATAATTCTCATCAAACAGTAAGAACAATAGGAGTGTAAGATAAAAACCAAGGGCCTTCAGCCACTTTCTCCAAAGGCCTGTGAAAACAGATAAATTTTAACTTGACAGAATCCCCAAATTATAGTTGCGCCCTATACCTTCTGGCTGGGTGCCACAATTTTATTCATTTATTTATATAACAAATATACTGCCTATAGTGAAAATCTTAAAACAGTTTCATGTAAATTGCTTGATCACACAATTGCAGCATTTGGAACAACTGGTCCCCTTTTTCAGCAACTTAGATGCATGTTCGTTGAATATTTATTAATGTTTTCCCTCCCTTTTGTAGGAGTGTTGGTGGTGAAGCAGTTAGGCTTTTACTGGGAAAGCAATACTTTGTAGGACCCCAGAGGGGGAAACAAAGTGGGATAGAAGCTTTTAGATGTTTAGCTAGATCTATGACTTCCAAGATTTTGTCTCCATTACAGACTTGGCTGTACTTGGTTCATAAGAATGTTTTGTGACTTAAGAGCAACAGAAAGCTCCAAATATACTCTATGCACCTCAAGAGAGCATGGTGATAATGGTGACAGTATCTGCATCCCCATAGGGGACAACTCCATCTACTTACGTACACCAAGAATAGGTGTTTTGTTTTGTTTTTTACAGATGCTTTCTGAATAGTGGTGTATATGGTGAATATGATTTTTTTAAAAAGTTTTATTCCTTTTCGTAATTTTGTTGTCTGAAAAAATGGATTTGACTGCTTCCCATCACTGTATTTATCTTTTTTCATGAGTAAAAAAATGAAATGTGTCACATGGTTCTCTGGGAAAATATTTTTAAAGACTTTTTTTGAGAAGTTTCCGCTTTCACTTAGAATATAATCTATATAATTGCTTCATTTTATCATCTCAGTTTTGTTATCTTTTCAGTAGCATTCAGCTGATGGCCCATTCTAGAATGAACATTAAAGTTCAATGCTTTTTTAAAAAGTTTATTTGAAAACATAGATTAATTCTGCTTGGCTATCTTGAGCACAATTTCAGACTCCGAGCTCTGTAAATGATGTATGTATTATGCAATTCTGCACATTTGTTCCCAGGTTGTTTTTATTTAAGGGTTTTGTATAGATTGAAATGCAGCTGCAAGTGTATTAATGATTTTCTATTGCCATCTTGTCCAGATTTTTATTGTTCAGATGAAAAATAGTATTTTGAGGCCTGGCAATGTATTGACAAAAACAGAGGAGTACTTTATATATTTCTTTTGAAAAACTACTCAAAATTGCCTTGGCTAATTCTATTCACGTGTATTTTAAAGAATGGATTAACTGTGAGCTTTCAGTTAAGGTTTAATTCTTTTTTCTTCTGTTCACCATGGTGCTCACTTTTCTCTATTTAGTCAAACCAGAATTATATTCCTGCAAGCAAGGCACACAATAGCCAAATGTTCTAGGTGCAAAAGAGGGCATCTGACCTTTTGTTACTAAGCTTTGACAGGTGCAACCTATTTTCGTCCAAATGGTGTTAATTTGCGTGTGCAAATTCATCCCCTGAAATCTGTATTCTGTATAGCAACCACAGGGGAATTGATCATAATCATGAATAGTGTAATGGACAGCTGAGAGAGATAATTACTGATATTTCAACACATTCATGCCTGCAAGTTGGATTTTTGAGTACACTCCTGTTTTCATTGCTTGTTAGGGAAGCTGAAGTTAGTTATTCATTGCTGGACAAAAAAAGGTGTCTGCAAAAGTTCATGTGCAAGGAATAGCACATTGTTACAAATTAGTTTCCTTTACCATTTCTGGCAAACTCATTACAAAGTAATCGTGACCTGTGTTGAAGTGCACTTCCTCTGGGACCAATAACTGTAAATAAGCAGGGCTGCAAGCTGGCTGATAAGTTGTTGTTCTGAAGATAACAGTCCTTTTTAGCAGTGTGTTTGACCTTTTTCCTTTATATTGCCTGAGGCTTGTCAAAGACCCTCAAGGTCTATTTTTCATCTTAAAATTCTCTGTAGAAAAGCACAATGTGTGGTTTAAGAAGATTTTAGGATTGCTTAACATATCTGTGTTTTCTTGCATTTTTATAATAATTGTTGGCATACTTAAAAACTCCAGCTAGCATTTACTGGAACAGGATTTCTTTTGTCCTGAAATGCAGCCTTTCTTATTGATCTAGGATGCACCATGTTTTAGTATTTGATGAAGAGTTAAGTTCATATTGTAGGTTAAATAAAGTGGTAGTAATCATGTGTGTGTGTGTATTCCTAGTGACATTCATCCTTAGAATTAGTTTACAGTGTTTGTATTTTAAATATGTTACAGAACATTATTCTGAGGAAGTTGTTCTTTGTGAATTCCAATGTGAACTGACCTGATCCACACCTCAGAGACTAATGTGCAAATCAGAGTGCAGTTATCCCTCATATTTCACATTTTCCTGAATTTTGTAGTGCAGTTATTGACTCAAAAAAGTACCAAAATGCATATGAAATGCATATTATATGATAAAATGCATCTAGAAATGTAAGAAATGTTCATAAATATTTATTTAGACACAGACCTGTATGCAGTTAGGAGTAAAGTTGAACTTAGTCCTAAGTAAACATGCATAAAATAGTACTATAAATTATTAACCTCTTATTGCAGAACAGATTGATATTCTTTTTTTACAAAAAAATTCTCCTCGATACAATAGACATATGGAATAAAATATTAATCTTTTAATACATATATGTTGTTGTTGTTTAGTCGTTTAGTCGTGTCTGACTCTTCATGACCCCATGGAGCAGAGCACGCCAGGCACTCCTGTCTTCCACTGCCTCCCGCAGTTTGGTCAAACAATACATATATAGTTTCTGTTTAATAGTTTTTAATGCTTTTCAGTAAAAATAACTATTTTATTCTGTTCAGGGTACCATTATTTTTTTTACAATTCTTTTAAAATTAAAAGATGAAAATTAAAACCTAGTTTTAAAAATCCCACTATATGCTAAACAAGATTTTATTTAAAAACTACTTTCTAACTTTATATCATAAGCTTAGTATAGGTATTCGTGATCCTTTCAGTTAATTAATCTACAGTTATTGGCCACTCTATTTCTGCCACCAGCAGAATGATTCTTTATTACGGGTGATGTTTATGGGCACAGCCAAGGTGGGACAGGGGGCAATCAAGTAAAACAACGAACAAACTTTACTGAGGTTCTGCCCCCCAACGTAAAGCCTGCCCCCCCCCAACATAAATCCTGGCTATGCCCATGACAATGTGCTGAACTTTGTCATTACTTTTCTTTTGAATATGAATTTACCTAACAGAATGCTCAGATGTACTAAAAATTAAATGTCATTTCCTGCAAAAGTAGTTGCGTGGACAAGCGGAGTCCCCAGATCCTGAGCGGTCCCCCCCCCCGTCATGTGAAATAACGACTCAAGATAATGTGCTATGACATGGCCAGGAGGTGCTCCCCTGTATACAATGAATAAACTCATCTGCCCTCACTTATTCATTGGCTCTTGATTTGCTGATCTTATATTTCAATAAATATAACCATTCTGCCAATATGTTGGCTCTAGAGGCTTCTTCAGGAATGTGTGGGCTGTCCTGAGTAAGGCATTGTGAACATTGTTATACTGTAAACAGCTCATCTGGAAAGACAAATACACTTTATTTTATTTTTTAGAAATGAAACAGCCAACAGTTGTGGATTAGAATTTGCCATACAACTTTACTGAGTCTTTTGGTAGAATATTTCTCTAAGAGAGGTATCACTGATCAAAGGGCTTTTCTGGAATGTGTTAACATAGCATTCTGTTTTCTAATATTTTTTTAGGTAACCTTGGACGTGTGGACTATATTACTGAATTTGAGTATGACCTGTTTATCAGACCAGATACATGTAATCCCCGTTTTCGAGTCTGGTTCAATTTCACAGTTGAAAATGTGAAAGAATCTCAGGTAAGTGCAATTTAAATGAGAATGAAGTAAACTTTTGCTTGACAACTAGAAATGTTCTGAATATTTAGATAGCTGTTATTTTCTGGCTGTTCTGTAGCTGAATTAGAGATGGCCTGTACTAAATTGTTGCTATTTAGACATGTTAATTTGACAAGAAACTTGTTTCCTAGGTGGTAAAACGTGTCTCTCTCATATATGCTGGGCTGAGTAAGATATTTGGCTAAAAGATACCTTAAACTGGGGCTGAAGATCTCATGCTATGGTTACTGCTAATCTGTCACTCCTAGCTGCTTGCCTCAAACCAGTGTACCAGCTGTCTAGGAGATAAGTTAACTGATCTACTTTTAAACCAGTTTTTCCTATTTATACTTCTGTCTGTTGGTAACTAGCTTGTTGTACTCCAATACACATTATAATGGGATGTAGGAGGCATTCTCAGCTTCCTTTTATGGTTCACTTCTTATCTCTGCCTTGGTTGTCCCTTAACGAACAGATATGTGCATTCACAAACAGCCAAAGTACATGGGTTGTATTCAGCTCCTTTGTGGGCATGTTTGTGCTTGGCTCCAAGAGAGTTTTCGTTTTGCTATGTTTAAGATTTAAGACACCATTTTAGCAGAGCACCTAGTTGAGCACTTTGCCATTTCTTATTGAGCACAGATGAAATGTCATCTTGGTAAAAAATTCCAGTAACATTTTTAGAAAGGAACTATAAACAATCCACATATGGATGCCTTTGTGAACTTTTTCTGTAATGTTTTCTTTTTGTACAGTTACTGGGTTTTAAAAACACACATAATATTTTAATAGAAAGACACCATTTTCCTTACGCTTCCAAGAAGCATAAGACTATCCTAGCACAAATTCTTATGAAAGATCAATTGCATGTCGACAACCTTGCCTTCATGCTCATCTAGTAGCTGTATGTTATAGAAAGTGTGTCTGTGGATAGTGGTGGAGGCAGATCATAGGGCACATGAGTTAAGGTTAAGAAATGTCTCCTTGGACTGCACAAGAGCCAATGGACAACTAATTGTAAGGGGTGAAAATGGGAGAAAGATGTTTGATTAGAGAACAAGAGCAACACAGTGTAATAGTATAAATAAAACCCAGGAAAATGTGACAGATCTTAAATATTGTCTGTCTGCTTGGCATGTAGAGGTCCTTCAGTTGGGAAAAATTCCTCCCCGGCCCTGAATTCATCAACCATAAAACCATAGCAAAGTCAAGCAAAGCACAACACAAGTAAAAGGGGCGCCAACCATGAGATAAGGGAGGGTGGATGGAAGATCCTAAAAGCCCATTGCAGTCCCTAGCAAAGGTCAGGGCAGTTTTTATGCCCAGGGAGCAGACCTGAATGAAGTCTTCTAAGAGTCTTTGTCAGACCCGCCCCCCAGGCTCAACCCCTTCACCCACCTGTGATTGGCCAGTTGTGCCCAGTGGACAAATTTGAATCCAATAGCTGGTGGGAGAGGTTGTTGCTTCTCCCGTCAGCTGTTGGAGCCTGGGACTGAAGAGCCTGGGACCACTGGATGGCAGTGGGGCTGTGCCAGGCCATATATACCACTTTACCTTCAAGCAGGTGAGTGGATGTTGTCCAGATTTAACCCAGTGATACTACTTTGCTTTTATTCCACAGTTCTTTCCTTAATGTACATTTTGTCAGTACTAATATGGCCCAGCTGTTCACAATATGTAGGTCTGTATACATGTATGTCTGTGCATGATTTTGTATCATTATGTCTCGCCTGAAAAAATCCCATAACTAAAATAACATTTTAATGGAAGAATTATTCAATAATAATTCCTCTTTTATATGACTATTCTATGTTACAAGGAAAAAACCATGAAATGTGTTATCAAAATTTGTGGCGCTGCATAGATGATTGGTCCCATTCCCCTGTTTTGTTCCTTAGTCAACAATGATGAGATTGTAAAGCCATGAGATGATTGAGTACCTGTCTCAATGAGCACCAAGATCTCATGTAGAGATACAATATATATCTAGAGTTCACAGGATATTTGTTTTCATGGTTGTATACATGAAAAAGAATGGGTTTACTATTAACTTTGACTTGTGAGGTCTGTTTTTATAATATGTCTTCCTGCAATCTGCTTTTTTTATCTCTCAAATTTCCGTTAAAATGAGTCCTACATGAATATAATGAAATCTTAAGCATCTCTCAGACTGGGCACCACCAGACACTGCAACCTTAGTGTATTAAATAAATGCTACAAATTGTTGTATCAAATGTATGTGGTGTGTTTTTTATTAACTATATTGTGTCATATAAGAAACATATTGTAAAAGTCTCTTTGTTGTATTCTGAACAGGTTGTAAAATCATTTTAAGTGATTTATTTAAGATTATAAAATATAATTGCACCTTCTTCATAACCCCTCCTTAATGGCATTAGAGCTGCAGTCCAGTTCATAGTTAAGCATGTTTATATGTCATTATTTCAGTGTAGTAGGTCTTGATTAACTTGATATAACATACTTACGATAAGCTTACTTATTGATGTTACATTTATTATTGTTATTGATGTGGCACAGAAAATGTAAAGAAAGCAAACTATGTTTTCAATATCATTAATCCACCTGTGATACCCGTATACAATTGTATGGCCTGCTACAGTGATTTGATGAGATTCTATCATGAAGAGTTTGCAGTCCTTTGACAAGGATAGCTTTGCATAGATTTTTGTTTGTTGCAAAGGGCTGAACTCCGCAAGATCCCTTTACAACTCCAAGTCTATAATTGTTTAATTGCAAAATTAAACCTACAAAGCGATTACTTAAAAGAAAAACTTTTTCACAAATATACTGCCCTGGGTTTTAACATAAGGAAGTTTCCTGCCCCCTCCTCCCCTCTGCATCTATTTGTGCCCTTGAAACAGCTGATAAACAAAGGTCTCTGTGCCTAAACTGACTTTTAAAGTTATTCCTGGTGTGGCTAGAGAAAAGCTTTTCTCCCTTTCCCACAACAGTAGAACATGTGGACATCCAGTGAAGCAGAATGTTAGAAGACCTGAGACGGTCAATCCAGAGCATCATCTACTCTGATTGCCCATCACCAGCATGTGTCCTGACAGATTCACCTAGATTTGTTTGCTTTGTTTTCTTACCAAAAATTTAAGCTGTTTCAAGCTGAAATTGAAAAGTGTTTGGGAATAGTTTCTGTATATTACATTCCCATGTTATGAAAAACTATCCTTTTATTACGTCTCAACACTGGAGGATGGACAAACAAACAAACGAATGAATGAATGAATGTGATTAGTGTTCATTATGAGCAGTTTTGTCCCTTGTAACCTTCTATTCCTGAATTGATAAATGTTGTATATGATTGCATTATTTGTTTGCTACTCTGTGTGAAATGTAAATTAAATGCAGAATGAAGCAGTGATATCTAAGAGTTTTAGACATGCCTCATATTTTATATAGAAATATCAGTTCCATACATACACCATTGTTCTAAAATGCGTAACTTTGCAGTTGTGGAAACTTTTGCAGGTTAATAATCTTCCAAGTAGGATTCTTTCAAGTAGAGACATTTCTTTTGAATCATTACAATGTAATGCACAGTAAGCATTTTATGTAATGCTTCCTTAACATGTTCCAGCTTTTAGAATATAATTAATATGGATTGACATAGACAAAATTGTGTTAAATTTATACACTTAATTTCTAATGTCTATGAAACCATCTTAGTTGCCAATTTTTTGAAATTACAGCAAGCATATTCATACTTTTGATTGTTACACTGATGTTTCTTGAGTAGAATCTAAATAGCCAGGTGTGTTTACTTACTTAATATGATGACATCTGTCAATCAGAATGTCAATATTCTGAATAGTACAAACAAGAAGGATGCTTTGTTGTAATTATCATGATATTAGTGATGTGACACATTTAGTTTTGCTTCTATTTAGGAACTTATTTGTAGCATGCTTTTCAAGTCACACTTGTTTTTGGCAACTGGCAGACCTTAGGACAAATCCAGCATACAGAAAATACTGCTGCAATATCCCACTTTAAGCATTCACAATTTCTCTTTCTCTTTTCTTACTACTTCTCTCATATTCTTCTTTCTAGGGGTTTGGTACCACCTACGGTATATATGAGTTTTAGAGTCTTAATAATGGCTAAAGTTTTCTGAAGCATTGACCTTAACTATGGTTAATTCTAACCAGGCTTCATTATTATTCAGAGTTTGAAATCATGTTTGAAGAATAGAGAGTGGGAGTATGTAGCTATTACCTGTAAGTGCCTTACATTCACTTTGGATCACAGGACAATTTTTAGTGGTGGGGAACCTTTCCTTTCCTTTCCTTTCCCCCCTTGAATCTGCATTCGACTTTGGACAAGTCTCTGAGGGCTGTGAGCCAGCAGTGGGTAGAAGTGGGGGCATATTCCAGGGGAAATTGCCTTGTGGGCCAAATTAGGACCCATACTAAGCTTAATTTGGCGCACTGGCCAAAGTTTTCTACACTTAGCAGATACATCTGCTGGGTCAAAAGTCCTTGCAATCATGGAAGGGCACCATTTGGATACAAGTCAGTGACTTTTTTTGGGGGGGGGTACAGCCCTCAGAAGAGGTTGTGTATTTATCAGTATAATTTTCAGTTCTCAAATGTATAATATTACTTCTGAAATATTTAGTTTATTTAAAATGTAAAGTTTCTTACCATTTTAGAAGGATAACAGCTATCATGAATATATATGCATTATTCTTATGCTGTCATATACTTTCAAGTAACGCCTTTCCTAATGTACATATAGTCACAATATTCTAACTTTAAAATAACATGGAGAAGCTTTCCCCTTTTTGGTAAATTGCAAGGGCTTATACAAAAGGGATGTATTTTATTGCAGAAAACTTAACACGGTATCACCACAGGGTTTTTATTTTTTATTTTTTTTAATCATTTCTTTGACATTTTTGGCTTACACAACAGGGTGCCAAACATTTATGACAGCTTACAGTGGAAAAACAATATTGCTTTTAGTTAACAACGTTAGCTATGAATATATATTGACAGCATTTTCACTACAGATTTGTTACCAACATAATACAAAGCAAATAGCATTCAATATGTTGGAATACTCAAGGGAATTAAAGAATTTCAGAAACAACTTTATGGTATTAGGTGCTGAATGTTGAAATCTAATGAAAATGCAAATCTAGAAGCATCAGCAGAACATACTTTATGCAAAGGAATATAGTTTATCCAACTGATAAAATTAAGATTAAGCTGAAAAGAATTACTTTAGAATATCTCTACTTGTTTTAGTAAACTAAAGAGTGAAAATCAGCATCAATGTCTGAAACTTTCTTGCTGACTTTTTAAACAGCCAACCCCAGGTGAGATGAAAATGACAGCCAAAACAGGCCCTCCCCCATTTTGTTTTCAAGGTCTTGCATCCCCCCCCCATTAATACCATAGAGCAGGCTTCCTCAATCTCAGCCCTCCAGATGTTTTGAGACTACAATTCCCATCATCCCTGACCACTGGTCCTGCTAGCTAGGGATCATGGGATTTGTAGGCCAAAAACATCTGGAGGGCCAAGGTTGAGGAAGCCTGCCATAGGGGAAGCAAAGCAACTACAGAGAGCCTAAAATGCTGAGTACTAGCCAAACATTCTGAATGATGCTCTGCCGAGGCATGGAATCCATATGTGGTACTGCACAAAGAAGGATACTGTGCTGCATCATACAGTATGTGGTGTGGTCTTAATTCTAAACTATCAAGTGATCTGTTCAAGACAGACCTTCTTCCAGACCCAAATATCAATATGACCATTAAGAAAAGCAGAAATTAATAGTTTCCTAAATCAACATGTTATTTGCTGGATAAGGTCGCAAGATATTCTGTTTACAGGATAATGCCTCCCTCTAGACTTGATTGGCAGGGTCTTTTATCTCCTCTTCCAGGGGATAGTTGTGGTGCAGGGTATTTGTCCAGATATACCCTGCTTATGTGGGATGCGGGTGGCGCTGTGGGTTAAACCACAGAGCCTAGGACTTGCTGATCAGAAGGTTGGCGGTTCAAATCCCCGCAACGGGGTGAGCTCCCGTTGCTCTGTCCCTGCTCCTGCCAACCTAGCAGTTTGAAAGCACGTCAAGGTGCAAGTAGATAAATAGGTACTGCTCCGGTGGGAAGGTAAAATGGCGTTTCCGTGCACTGCTCTGGTTCGCCAGAAGCGGCTTAGTCATGCTGGCCACATGACCTGGAAGCTGTATGCCGGCTCCCTCGGCCAATAAAGCGAGATGAGTGCCGCAACCCCAGAGTCGTCCACGACTGAACCTAATGGTCAGGGATCCCTTTACCCTTTACCTTTTTACCCTGCTTATGGTTATGTTTGGTCTGGTATTTTCTTCTCTTGTGAAAATCCCTTTGTTTGAGCCAATATGTTGAATTGTGTGTGTGCCTCCTTAGTTTTTCTTTCTAGTGTTTTTCCTTCTCTTTTTTTGTGTATATTTGGGACCATATATGGTTATTTAACTACCATCTACCTCCCCCCCCCCTGTCAGTTTCCTTAGGGGCTTTCTCTTAAACTTTCTCTTAAAAGTAAAAAAGAAAACTTAATTTCCTTTTGGGGGGCATTTTCTGTTAGCCTTGGTACCCTTTTCTTCCCCCTCTCTTTCTCAATACTGTTTTCCCAAGCCACTCCACAACTGGCTCATGGAAGGCAGCTTCTGCAACTGATATTTCTTTGCCCTTCCTCCTCCTCTACAGCTCCTGCAAAGGACCTCCCAAGTCCTGAACAGTTTGACCTGAGTTGCATGGATTCCTCTGCCCAATTTCAGGCGCTTCCTCCTTTCCACTGTAGCCCCATGCAACACAGCCAACATTGTTCAAGAGAGCTCCCACAACCCCCTGGAAAGTCTTTTTAGAGGATGCAAATGAAAAGGCGAGAAGAGAAATACCATATGTTTGTGCAAATTGCTTTCCACTTGCACAACTGCTGGGTGCAAACCTTAAAATTTAAAATGTCTGGATCAATATCTATTTGGACACCCCAGTCTCCCCAATTATAGTTAATCAGAGACCCATCATGGAGCTTTCCCAATTTGGTTTGTGTTTGTTCAAAACACTGTCCTCATATATATGACCAAGTAACATAAGCAAAATGCCATGTATTTGCCAACCTAAATACAGTCCAGGGAAAAGGCAAGAGGAAAAAGGAGGAGGATCAGAAGCAAAAGTAAGAAGGGATTATGGAAGGGAAGGTTTAAAACTCATCTGCTTGTGATTCCTCCACTCTGCTGCTTATCTGACAGGAGTACAGCTGACACTGAGGAAAAGGAGTCTGGGGTGCAGAAAAAAGTTAATATTTTTACCCGAAGCCCCACCTCTACTCCCTGCTGCTCAGTGGGAAGGTATGAGGTGGATCACATAAGATTAGGCTGGTCAGAAGCAGCCTGCAGAATGCAGATTGAACATTTCTAAATGACAGATAGAAAACGGGCATATTTCCTGAAGGCTATGAGTGTAGAATATATAAAGTTCAAATGAGATACAGTGGTACCTCGGGTTAAGTACTTAATTCGTTCCGGAGGTTCGTTCTTAACCTGAAACTCTTCTTAACCTGAAGCACCACTTTAGCTAATGGGGCCTCTTGCTGCCGCCGTGCCGCCGGAGCACGATTTCTGTTCTCATCCTGAAGCAAAGTTCTTAACCCGAGGTACTATTTCTGGGTTAGCGGAGTCTGTAACCTGAAGCGTATGTAACCCGAGGTACCACTGTATACATACTTTCTAAAACCTGCTAACGATTGTGCATATTGACTGGAGAATGTACAAAATGCAGTTGCGATATGCACATTCCTCAAGGCTTGTTGGAAATTATGTATATTGACTGAGAAATGTGACAAAATTCCTTCTTCATGGACAGATTAGATGCATATTCTCTATGAGGCCTGGTGAATATGCACAGTGTTTGGATGTTGTGCACATGAACTGTTCAACATACATTATATGCCTTCCCTCATATTATCCAAACCATCATAATTATTGACACCTTTCTAATTCATAAAATTCCTTAGTTCTGTTTAGTTCTGTGAGTTTTGGTACAGTAAGGTGATTTCTTTGTGAGCTACCCATAGGGAAATTAATATTTTTTTAAATAGTAAAACTATTTAATAATCCAACATCGAGAACTGGATTTAGGGCTGTTTGGGAGGTTCCACTGCACAGGGTACCAAGCCAAGTGGGTGCAAAATAATAAAAACACAAAACCCTGTATTTATACAGGTAGCTACTGAGAAGATCCATAAAAAACTGTACTTAAAGGAATTATTGTGAAAATAAGAAATATTTAGGGAAGGGCACCAAATTTTCTCATTGCTCAGGTTTCCATATTATCAAAGTCTGCCCTTTCAACATAGTCACTATAGTTTACTGGTACTATCCTCCCCCCACATACCATACTATGAACTACATTGGTTTCTTCCTTTGTTTATGCTTCAAAATGTTGAGTTTATAAGTGAGGGAGACTCTTTTTTCCTTGGAAGAATGAAGTCACAGAATTCAATAGGACTTTTGAGAAGGCTGTTTCTAGACTGTTGGAATTAAACTATTGGTACCGAGAAATATGCACTTAGGAAAGGCCTCCTCCCTGATGAGTTATCCCCCTTTTCAGCAGAAAACAATTACTTGGAATTGTCCCATGAGTGACTAATACAGAGGCTGAGAAGTGAATATAGTAAATAAGAAAGATAGTAAATATAGATCAAAACATCCTCATTTACTGTCAGAAATAAGATAGGAGCAGTATTAAGGCACATCGATGAAACAAACCAGCACTTATTCACGGTGAAATCTGTAAAGTGTCTTCGATTGCTCAAGGGATCTTTAGATATAGCATTATTTTCTCTGTCTTATGGATGACTTGACCACCTTTGCTATGAATTTTTCATGATTTTCCTGACCCAGCATCTCTTGCCTGTGGAGAGAGTAATACAGTATTGATTTGGGTGTTAGATTTCTACCTTTTTCTTTTCTTTTGCGACAACAAGATTTTGTAGCCTAGAAACCTCAATCCCTGATTACTCATTAGAGAATTGAGCAGTTCTTTTTAGATCTAGAATGAAAAAGAGAGGTTTGAGTGCTTGTGTTGTAGGCAGTCTTTACTGGAATTTCAAATGATCTCCGTGCTAAGGTTTAATGTTGTTAAAAGCTTCCTTAATTGAACCAGGAGTGCAAGGAATACAGATTAAAGAGACAAGACCTCTATCTGACAATTAGAATGTTGTGGGTGATGTTTGTGAACATGCTCATTTAAAAG